GTCAGGCTTCCAGGTCGCTTCCTAATAAGAGTGGAGCCGCAATGTCAATCTAAAATGGTCAGAAGGGGATTGCGCTAAGTCGTACACCTCTTAGTACGGATACTCCTAGTATTTCAGTGCGCAGCTTAACAAGAAGCTCAAGAAGACTGCTTGCTACCCGGGCTTCGCATTTTCGTTTATGTCGACAACAAAACATTATGTGACGGTTACGGCTACTTTGGTCTTGTTCGGAGACCTATTCAATTAGGTAGTAACCGTCGTTTGCTCTACCTAATTAACATCCTAAAGGTCCTACTAATTTAACTTGACAGATGGCACTGAACCTCTGTTTAACGTCCTCTACATGAAAGCCTTCGCAAATTTCCCTCAAAAACCTACAAATATACTTTTCAGCCGTGTAAATAGATGCCCTCGGTTGTAATCGAATCATCTTCTGCGTTTCCTCCGAATGCTAGCATGATACATAAGTTACTCAGCTCCCTCGCCGGCGTACTCATTGCTTACACTTTTGAGTTTCCTCTGCACTAACCCTGTCCAAGCAATCATTTCAAGTGAAATATTTTTATAATCCTTCTCTACAGAATCTAAAAGTAACTTTTTGCTTTCTTCGGGTGCAGCTCTACGGATAGGGCTCTTTTTCCAACGGTTATCATTGCGACTTTTCATATAGTAGTTTCTTCCTACGAATAGAAGCAAATATGCGTGCCCCAGGTTCTTGTCGTAAAGAAAAGGAGGACGAGACCTCTGGATCGATAGTTTTATTCCGAGCTCTCGGTTCCACACGAGGAGCCATCTTCAGAGAAAATGAGAAAACAGCAAGCGTTGGCTACAAGTGAACGGGGTTGGTAGGGGGAGGGGGAGTGGTATTTGTGATTGGTCCATGTCCACGCCGCGTCCATTCCCACGCTATCTTATCGTGTGTCTCCTGAGCGCGTCCCTGGAGTTACGGCATGTGACCTTGACCTGGCGGCCTGCACGCTTGTAGGGAACTGGGTTCTGGTTTCTGGTCGCAGACACGGATTGCAAAATAGCAGGGCGGGCCATTAACAGCAATTAGTGTCGTGCCTTGTCCCCACGGTAGAGGGTCCTGTTAACCC